CTTGTCTAAAAAGTACAAATGACAGTGCAACCATTGGAAGAAACCCCCACCCCTTCTCCCTGCAAGAGAATCATAGCCTTATTTGCAGCAGAACCCCCCCCCCCCAACCTTCTTCACTGTTTGAATAGTGAGGCAGTGGACTAGATTGTCTAGCAAAAAGTTGTAGAATTTCAATCATTAGAGGTGTTCAAGAAGAGGTTAGATAAGCATTAGTCAGAGATGATCTAGAAGTAGCTATGCCTATGCTCTACTATTGGTATTTCCCATGCTTCTGGGCTTTCTGGTTTCCATAAGGGGTTGTGATAGATTTTCTTCCCCCTACCCCCTGGTTCCTTTGATACACGTCAGCGTCTTTTTTTGCCTTCCCTTAGAAGCATAGGGTGTTGGTTGTGGTCAAGGCCAAGGTTTTGACTGGGGTGTGCCAGTGCTCGTGTTGGGACTAAAGCCTGGATGTTCCTAGCTAGAGAATCTTGCCCTTGTGCTCAGGGTTAGATCAATCTCCATATTTTGGGTCAGGAAGGGATTTCACCCCATGGTCAGAGGTATAGACTGTGGGGGAGAGGGGAGGTTGCCTTCCTTTGTAGCAGGGGGCATGGCCCTCTTTCTGAGCATATTTTAAGAACCCTTGCAGCAGCTGTCATTGTCCTCCTCATTTATCTGTAGCAGGGTAGGACACTACATCTTGTCTCCTATTTGTCAGGATTGTCTGTGGAATTTTCTGTAATTGTTTAGACAAGGATTAGATAGGATGTTTTGGATGATTACTGCCTTAGGGTTGGATTAGATGACCTCCAGAGGTCCCTTCCAGCCCTATTTTTTTCTGATTCAATGAAAAATTGACTATACTGATCACTAACATGACAACTCATGACACTGTAGTAAGAAAAGCTCAGAGGTTAGCTGCCCTCTTTGAGATGGAGAACATTTATAAGAGTCCAATGTGAGTCTCAGGCCTCATCAGGAGACACTTCAAAGTTTTTCTTTGGAAACTTGCTGATGGAGAAGTGAATTGTCTGAGAAAAATATTCTGGCAAAGGTGCTATCGCTATAGGAGTGAGAATTGGAAAGGAATTGAGCATGATATTGACTAGAACAGCATGTCTCAACTGGCGGGTCACGACTAAAAAGTGGGTCACAAGAATATTTGAAAGGGTTGCAAGCAGGTCCCCAGAAAAACCCATGAAAGCATGGGTTTCCCCTTGTAGGCTGGCAGTGTTCCAGCCTGTAAGCAGCTGCCTGGGATAATTGGAGGCAGTGGGCACATGTGAGTCTGTGCACACAGACGCACATGGGCCAGCATACAGTGAGACCAGGTCACGGGAGAAGCTCCAGCCGCTGGATGCAGGCAAGTATGGGGAGTGGGGGATGGAGGTCCAGGGGACTGTTTAGAAGGCTGGGGGGGGGGCGTGTGTGTGTGTGTATGTGTGTGTGTGTGCACACGTGCACACACGCCTGCCTGCTTGCACTGGGGACAGTGGACACTGGGGACAGTGGCCAGGAGCAAGGCTGTGGCAGCACAGGAAGAGCTGGGGGAGAAGACGTGGGGCCCTTCAGAGAAGGAAGGAGGCAGGGGTGCTCCTTTGCAGCGGGGAGCTGCGTGTCTGGGCCAGTGGCATGGGGCCAGAGCCCATACATGCAGGGGCCTGCACTCGCTACTTGAGCTCTGGCCTAAGCGGGATGGAGACAGCTGGGGGTGGGGGAGACGCAGGGAACTGCAGATTGGGAGTGGGGGCACCAGCATGGTCTGTGGTGCAGAGGGATGTGGCTTGAGGGTGAGGGGTGCTGGGGGGCAGGGGATTGTGGGTTGGGCACTGGCAGAGCCTGGGGCGGGGGAGAGAGGAGGGAAGGGTCAGGATAAGCCATCGCTCTTGGAAAATGGGTCCTAGTATGAAAAAGGTTGAGAACCACTGGACTAGAACATCCATGACCTTTTAGGGAGCAGTGTTGGAAAATTTCTCTGTCTATGGTGAAGCATGTCCAACGTCATATCCAGGAAATGCTTGAAAACATTATATATTGCTGAATTGTGCAGCCTGCATATCTCCTCCATAGCAGTGCTTAGGAAGATAAATGGAAAGACAAACATCTGTGTAGACTATTCTAGAACTTAACAAACACACTGTAGTTTTTCAATTTACTGTGATTTGTGTGGAGGATGCCTTGGGCTACTGGCTAAGGAGCAGTGAATTTTTAGTCCCAGTCCCAGCCCTTCACATTGGATATTGCAAGATCCTGCTGGCTCAGGATGATAAAAAGAAGATAACTTTCATCTTCCCTTTGGGCTTCTGTCAGTTCAAATGCCTACCCCTAGGCATCTGCAACTTTTCAGCATCTCCTGGAGAAATTGTGGGAGACATGAATTTACAGGTATCTGTCTGTTTGGATGACCTGATGGTATTAGGGTCTGAAGAAGCACGTTGAAAAAAAATCCTGTACACATTAAACTGGCTAGAAGCCTAGAAACAAAAGTTACCAGTTGATAAATACTAGTTCTGTAGAACAATCAAATATGTGGGAAAGTTTATCACAGAAAAGTTTAAATACAGAGCCTCAAAAATTGGAGGCTCTTAGTACATTATTCTTTCCACAATATTACAGAAAGCCAAGAACTTTCTGATTTAGGGAACATACCACCAATTCATGAAAAATGATGTCAGTCCAGAAGAAGAAAAGGAAATGTAAGGCAAAACCAAAAGGTCTTCAAAATTTTACACTGTAATCCACTGAAATCCTATGGGAATTGATAAGATGAGAGGAAAGACCTCTGGGAAATCATTAGCTCAACACAAGTTTTTCTGGGAAATCATTAATTGTCTGACTCATGCCCTGTTTCTACCTTTGATCAAAGCAAATTTTTGTTCTATATACAGATGCCAGTTTGGATAACTTAAGAGGAATGTTATACCCAGGAGGCAAATGAAGCCCTCTGTATTTTGCCAGATGAGTAGTCTCTCCAAAAGTGTGACATTATCTCTCTTACATAAATAGGAATTCTTGGTCTTATGATGGGTGTCACTGAGAAATTTTGAGCATGTTTGTATGGTGCCAGGAATGGACAAATAACAATGCACTGTTCTGTGAGAGACAAGGATTTGTATAGGTGATATCTGTTATTGGACCAACTGCATTGTTGGGATAGATTTAGGCAAGCTCTCAAATGCAGGCATTCTTCTCCAGGAGACCTTCAGAAAGATGTCTTGCCAAAGCTTGCCCAAATCTATTGCAATCAGGCAGGTAGTCCAATAAAAGCTATCACACACAAAAATCTTTGGCTCATATTTCCTGGACTTTCACGATTACAACATCACTCCAACACTATCAATGCACTGATTTGCATTTTCATTTGCCAAGGAAAAGATGCACTGGCTATGAGCTCAGCATTCAGAATCTTTTGGAAAGAAGCAATACAGTGCTGATGCACTAACCTGTTGTCCATGGACTCCAAACTTGGCTATAATTCCTGTGGATGGAGCAAACACTATTTTCAGTGCAAATTGCCTAGGATCACTAGTTCAGAACAACCCTCAAGGGCATGTGAGAGACTTTGGACCGATCTCTTAACAGTGGACCCATCTCTTAACTGTATTACACCGGATTAGTCCCCATTATTCAAGCTCAATGCTGCTGACAGATCTAAGGCCCAGTTGTAAATTAATGGTCATCACCACACGTTTTATTATAAAGTTATGATACAATCTAGCCAGGATTCTTGCATTTTCCCAAGAGGTGTGGCAGTTGTTAAGAGAATGGAATAGACTGAAGCTGTTTAATGGAGAGTTGTATTGAATACCAACAGAGCAGCTACCAAATCAGCAAATTCAGTTTTTCTAAGGAAGTGCAGAGAACTTGCCCTGAAAGATGATGATTTTGGACCTTTGGTGAAGGAAAGAACCTTGAAAATCATTCTGAGCTGGTTCCAGTTGCCCCAAATGGCTGAGAATCTTTGCAGGAAATATGAGACACCCTCACGGAGTTCAAAAGACAGCTTTACCCACTAGAGCTGTGTCTGGAAAACATTACCAACAGCAAGCCTGTGCAACTGCTTTTCCTTTATTACTTCTGTAGAGTTGGACCAGAAGAATGTGACTGGCCATTAATACAGCCCATCCACTTCTATATTCCCAGTGTATGGATTTCCAGTTTGGATGTACTTGGACCAAAGGAATAAGAGGATCGGCAATCTAATTAATTGATTCTCCAGTTTGACAGTTACGCTCCAGTCTCTTCCATGCCCTTTTCATGAGGATGACTCTCTGGGAATGGGCCAGAATGGGAGCAAATAGTTTCTGTGCTCTCCTGAGCATTAAGAGAGTATTGGATGTGGGTGTTGTAACCTGCAGAAAAGAGGGGAGGCTTTTATGTCATTACTTACTGTATAGTTTATGAAAAAAAGAAGCCCTTTTGCATGGCTGTTGCATGCCAATGCAGGGCTGTGACACAGTTTGGCCTTTACTTACATAGATGGGTTTATACAGCAGTAAATAGCATCACCAAGCTATGGAAATGATTTGTCCTGTAGAATAATGTATGTTTATCTTGCTTAAACTACAGTGCACACAGCTCCAAGGAAGACTGCCAGATTTGCTTTTACATACATAGTTTCTTCAGCCAGATGAAAGTTATTTACTCTGAACTGGCAGGTCCTAATAGGGTATTGTACCAGTGGGTTACGTCCAGAGGTGAAGGACTTTTCCACAAAGCCTGTGTGAATTTTTGCAGCCCACTGTGGTCGGAAGAATCAACATTTCTCATAACTGTTTGTTATCTGAAGGCCGTGTGCCATTCTGTCTGTCACTCTGCATGGAGCAGGCTGGAAATCTTGTTTCAAAACAGGACTAAAATACTAGTATATATACTGTTTTCTAAATTAGTTGCTTTTGGATCTTCCCACAATAAATTAATCTGGGTTCCTGTGTTACTGTGCTTTTTACAACAAGATTCAGAGGAAATTAATTTAATCTTTTGTGTCTTGTACATTGTTATCTGATTGCTTGGATTACAGGAAAGAGAACTGCCTTGAATCCCAAACCCTTATCCCAGGTCCATTGTTCTGGATGCTACAAAAACATATGGTCCTGCCACCAGTATTTTCCAGCCAATACAGAAGAAGTTTGGAGGGGAAACAGAAGCAATAAGAAATAAAGGGCTCTATCTCAGATCATACAGCAAATCAATTTGTGAGGCAGAAAAAATGCAGATGTAACAGGGGTCCTCACCACTGCTACTGGGAAGCAGGTGCATGTAAGGCCATAAACTGCAAGGGCTGCTAATTATGTAATGGGGAACCACTGCCCTATTATTGGATGAGGGTTTTCACCAGAGAAAAGAGAGAGTGCCCTTGTAGGCCGTGAATGCTGGGGCCAAGGGCTTCAGAGCAGAGCAGCCAGTCTGGCCCAGGCTGTGCTCATGGAAGAACTGAGAGACTGCAGACTGAAGAGAGCCTGAGGAGAGATCAACCAGGAGAGGACAAAATGTAGTTGTTTTTTGCTGATTTGGGATGAAGATGTTGTGAGGCGCAGGATCATAGTATCATAGAAAATTGGGGTTGGAAGAGACCTTGGGAGGTCATCTAGTTCAACCCCTGGCTAAAAGCTGGACCATCACCAACCATATTATCCCAGCCAAGACTTTGTATACTCAGGTCTTAAAAACTTGTAAGGATGGAGATTCTCCCACTTCTCTGGGAGCCTGTTCCAGTGCTTTACGACCTTCCTATTGAGAAAGTTTTCCTAATATCTATCCTAAACTTCCCTTGCTGCAACTTGCTCTTCCTTCTGTCATCTGCCACTACTGAGAACAGTTTAACTCCACCCTTTTTGTAACCACCCTTCAGGTAGTTGAAGGCTGTTATTAAATCCCCTCTCAGTCTTATCTTCTCCAGATTAAATAAGCCCAATTCCCTCAGCCTCTCCTCATAAGTCATGTGTCCCAGACCCCTAACCATTTTCATTACCCTCTGCTGGACTCTTTCCAATTTCTCTATACCCTTTCTGTAGTGGGGGGACCCAAAATTGAACACAGTACCCCAGATTTGGCCTCACCAGTGCTGAATAGAGGGGAAAAATCACTTCCCTGGATCTGTTGGCAAAGCTCCTACTAATGCAGCTCAGCATGCTGTTAGCCTTCTTGGCAACAAGGGCACACTGTTCAACTTATTATCCTCTGTAACCCCCAGATCCTTTTCTACAGAGCTGCTTAGCCAGTATGGACTCTGCAATAAACGTTTCTCATCTACATGTGCAGTAGGCCTGTGCGGAGCGGCAAGTATTCACTTCAGATTTGGATTCGGCCAATTCGGAGGGACAGTGATTCGATTCAGAGATTTGAATAACTGTCCTGATTTGATTAGGCCAAATTGGATCCAAAGATTTGGTACCACTTCAGAGATTTGGCCATACACTAAACAGGCGGCAATCCTCACTGTGCTGGACACAGCTGCCTCCAGCTGGTAAGTCTGTCCTAGCGGCAGAGCAGGGAGGTAAGGCATGTGGGGGTGGGACAAGCTGCCCAGCTGGGGTGGAGAGGCACAGGACTCGGGGAGGGGGGCAGGGGGTGTGGGTGTGGTGCCCACAGTATCATGTGTATTTTAACTAAAGCTCATTCGACATGGTAAGTAGTACATGTTGAAGCAGAAATCCATCACTTGTATAGGTGCAATTATACACACAGTTAGTGGGGGTGGTTTAGTCAGGGACAATCTTTCTCTGATTAGGTGGCTGGATTTGATGAGCTCATGAAGCCCCTTCCAACTACTTTCCTATGATCTGAAGACAAATAAAATAAGCCAAGTTTATTGGGGCCAAGTTTATTTATAAAAGCCAATAATTACACTAAGAGGAGCAGGTAGGGGACTTAAAGAATACTTTCTCTTAAATCTTCATCATTCTGGACCTTAAATATTTAACAGTATGCATGTGAATGAAGATGGAAGATGTCTGGCAATCTTGATTTGCCTAGAGTGGGTCAACTTAATCTTTTAAGTTGAAGACCAGTCAAATGTTGTGCAAGTTGTTATCTTTGATACAGAACTGAACAGTTGAGAATTCACTGTTGTGTTTGTCATTTTGTCTTACCCTTTTTTTGTTGTAAAATTTCCACTGCTGAACAAGATTAATTCATGTGATGGTTACAGGCTCTGGGCTCCTGCCAGTGCTATCACAAGAGCAGCTGAACTGATGGTGGCATAGATGATAGTTATTTCCTTATTATGGAAAGGCTTAAGGTAGCCAGGGGAAGACTGAGTAACTCTGAATAATTCTGAACACCTGGCTATTGTTCATCATGGATGCTGGAGCTATGACCAGCCAGAACATCAAGAACTTTTCTCCCTCTTAAGAGCCAATAAACTTCCAGTTTTTAGGTTTGGTGTATATATTTTGACTGTCTGGCTTACTATCTTGTTACTTCCTCTTAGACTTGTGGAATAGTTTTATTGTTTCTTTGTGTCATAAATCTCTCCTGAGCTCTCCAGGCTGATGCACATCCAGACCATCCGTAAAGCAGGAGTTGTGCTTTTCCAGTACAACCAAACCCTTAATTAGGAAATACACAAAGTTACAATAGCAAAGCTATCTTTGTTTATTAGAAGATAGGTTAAATAGCTCCTTAGCAGCATCAGTTAACACCTATTGTGGCTGCCAGACAAACTTTACTGATTGGGCTTTGAAGTAGTACTGGCTTTTATGAGAACTAGTAATTCATGTTTTGCATGAAAACAAAATGCAAATCTAAGGTGAGCAGCACACCTTTTAACCCACTGGAGCTCTTCCAAGTACTTGCGGAAGAGTTTACCCCAGATTTATACCCACTGTTTCTGGTTCTGATTTTTCCCTGCCACTACTGGATTGATCCCTTAAGGCAGTAATTCTCAACTAGGATGTAAACACCCACACATGATTGACAAGACAAAGCCAGAGATTTCAAATAAGAATCCACATTGTCAACAACATTCTGACTTGTGGTCTTTCTGAGTTTTTTGCAACAAAAAAGTGCTCTAATTTTTTTCCATAGTTTAAAAACAAGTGAAAGCTAAAAACAGGCATTTTCCAGAGGGTGCGTTGAGTCTAATGCGGGGTGCTTTGAATTTAACGAGGGGTCTTTGAGTTTAAAAAGGTTGAGAATCTCTGACTAAGGGTATGTCCAAGGTCTTCTGGTGGCTGACTCCAGCACTGGGTCCTTCTTGACGATAATGCTATTGACGGTATTTCTTAGAGCCAGCAGCATGCCAGGAGCCCATGGTTCTGTGCTGATTCCCACCAAAGGGCCCATGAAGCACTTAACAAAGAACTGATCTATATAAGGAGAGGAAATATTGTGTTGTAGTAAGGCAATCTGGGTGAAACTCCTGCCTCTGGCACAAGCTTCCTGTGTGAACTTAGGCAAGTTACTTAGGGTATGTTTATTTGGCACAAGGCAGTGTGGAGACACCCAAGCTAGACTGTATATTTGAAGTAGTACAGCCATGATAGTTCAGCACTCTACCTCATCTAATATAATCTGCTTCTCAGCAGAGATAATTTGCTTGGGCAAATGCAATGCTGACACGGTTATGCCACTTCTGGTACCTGCTCTAGCTTATTCAGACCTAGCTTGGGTGATCCTGTTGTACCATGTAGGCATACCTCTCACCTACCTCTCCATACTTCTGCCTTTCATCTGTAAAATGAGGGAAATACTACTCTGCTCTGAGACTATCTTCTCTGTGAAGATTGCAAGTGCTTCAGAATATGAACACAAAATGGTACTGTGTTCATTTAGTGCAGGGGTGGGCAATTATTTGGGCCCAAGACACATAGGGAGTTTCAATGACCTGTCACAGGCCAGTTCAGCACTGTCCCTCGACCTCCCTCCCTCTGTGCAACAACTCACCAAAACTTCCTATGGAGCTTTGGGTGGGTGAGGAGCAGTGCTTGGGAGTGGGATGGGTGCGATCTGCTCCCTGCACACCCTGCCCTGTGAAGGAAGTGGGGAGTGTGTGTATTGGGGGGGGGGGCAGCGGTGAGGCAGGGCAAGTGTGCGGGTGGGCTGTCTGGGAGCCAATCAGGGATGAGGGGAGAGAGTGGGAAGAGGGGGGCATGTACAGCAGAGCTTGCCAGGTTTATGGCTGCCCTGGTGGCACTCTGCATGAGGCCAAACCCTGCCCGAGCAGCCTGCACTGCGTTTTTGCTCACGGCTGCCAGCCCCGGCCCCAGTCCTGGCCTGTGTCCTAGCCAGCGCACAGCTTCTGGTAGAGCTGTTCCTGGTGTGGCTGCAGCTGGCCACGTGCTGCTCTGCTCCCCTTGCCCCCTGTTGGAAGCTTCCCCCCCCCACACCTGCCCAGAGTGGCACATCAGGGGCAGGAGTGGGAGGAAGAGCTGCCACTGGGGGTGAGGGGAGCAGAGCAGCACCTGGCCAGCTGCAGCCTCACTGGGAACAGCCCCATCGGAAGCTGCAAGTGCTGGCCAGGGCTGATGGGGCTGTGCTGCTCCCCTTGCTTCCAGGCACATCTGGAGCAGTGCAGTAGGGGCAGGAAGAGACACAGCTGGAGCTGAGGGGAGCAGAACAGCCCCACAGGCCTGGGCCCTGGCCAGTGTGCACAGCTCCTGGTGGGGCTGTTCCTGGTTAAACTGCAGCTGGCCAGGGGCTTCTCTGCTCCCTTCACTTCCACCAGCAGCTCTTCCTCCTCCTGCTGTCCCTGCTACCCTGCTCTAGATGAGTTTGCTGGGGTGAGAAATATCAGCCGTGCCGCTCTTGCTGAAGGTGAGGGAAGCACAGCATCCCCTGTCTGGCTACAGTCACACCGGGTACAGCCCCATCAGAAGCTACATGTTGGCTGAGGCCTGGCCTGGTGGGTGCCAGTGGGAGTGCAGTGTGGGCTACCTCAGCAAGAGTGGTTGGGTCTTGGCACCATGAGAAGTGTTGTGGGGGCAGCTGCCAGCTAGATTTAGTCATTTGGCAAGCTGGATCTGCCCCACGGGCCGTATTTTGACCACCCCTTATTTAGGGTCTAGTGTGAAGGAGGGCTGATTGTAGTGGAGGCCTGGAGAAATTAATGTAGTATAAACAGAGTCCAAGAGCCATAAGTGCATAACAATAAATAATAAGTAACAAATAACATACTTCCATTACATATTAAATTAATATTAATGTTAAGCTGGAATTCATAGAAATGTTGGCATATCTAGAAGTTATCCAGATGGAGGATGAGTGCCCCACAATTAATAGTAGACCAGAGTTTTTTATTTATAAAAATTGGGACTAATGTCTCGGCTGCTCTGAAGGTGGATTTGATGATTGCATTGCCTGAAGGTTTTTTAATGGGCACTTAAAATAGGATACATGCAGCATAGTGTATTAGTAGCCAAATGTGCCCTACACTACTTAACCCCTTGGAGTTTCCCCTGGGTATTTTGTAGTCAGAGGGAGCATAAGAAAGATGATTCTGTTTTCCCGGAGTAATTTGGGGAACTCATGTTCTGAATCTGTTCACTTTATCCCTGTCTATGGAGATCAGAATGGGGCCCAGAGAATATGCTTAATATTTCTAATGTCATTCCACAACAGTCCTTCTGCCTTGTGCAAGCGTGGCTGGCAGTTTCCTGTCTGCTGATTTGTCCTGTGACAGCTACAAGAGTCTAATGAAAAATGAGAAGAATGTGTTAGAGATCTCAGCAGCCGTATTTCACAGCGTGGTTTTGAAACTGTTTGTTTTCTTAGCTTCCTGAGGTCAATGGTTATGAGAGATGGATGTCACCACGTGTGCTCATTTGAAAGAAAAGATGGTTAGGTAAGCTTACAGTTCTATGGAAAAATAAAGAATCACAAAAAATTTTTGTTCATTTAATTTAGGGAATGATCAAGACTTCAGAAATCCTTGTTTAGAAAATAAGACAAAATTCATGATCTTTTTTAGGTAAGTTATTGATTTTTTCCACATTATTCCTCAAAATCATGGTGAATGACACATTAACATTAACCAATATGCATGAATTTTCTTGAATATTAAAACATGAACTTGTATCTGATTGAACAGAAAAACTCCTCTTGCTTCCAGTGGGCTTTGGATTTGGTTTGTAATAAAAAATCTTTGTTCGTTATTTATTTAGTATTAAGGGGTGCACTAATATTGAAGTCAGTTAAATAGTACTAAGCAGACATTTGAGAACATATCAATTATTAGAACTGTGCTATTATGCCATAAAGAATATAAATGTATTTAAATCTAACAAAAGGCTTACCTTTTACTTAAACTGAGTAGAGCATCCTAAGGGGAGTTAGAATGCAATTTATGTAGTCTATATGTAATGTTTTCATTGTAGATCTCAGACAGATTTACCAATATGCACAAATATCCTAATTTTACAGATGGGGGAACCTGAGGTGCAGAAGGAGAATAAGTAAATGGCTACTTACAGAGCTAGTCATTAGCAGACCTGCGATGAGACTGCTGGCTTTCAGGTTCCTGGTCCACTGCCAAATTCACTGCACCAAAATATCTTTACATTGACACTAAAGCAGCAGACTTACCAGCTTTGCAACTATCCTTGCCCCCCACCTTCCAAGCAGTTGTCTGCACAAGTCTGGGGACACGCTCAGGGAGACCAGCAGGTGCACGGCACCATGGGTCACCTCGATGTTTCACTTCTTAGTGTTCCCAGATGCTTCTGGCCAATAGGAACATAGCAGCCCATAGGGTTCTAATTAACTCACAGTCTAAACTTCAGAATAGTTTTTAACTCTTTGGTTGCTAGATTAAAATATCATTAAGAACCCATATCAAATTCCGCATCCTCTAAGGTTACATATTTGTAACAAGCTATGAAGTTTTATTGTTGTTAGCATTTTGGTGCAACCAGCAGAGACAGGAAGAGGGGCCTCAAGAACAGATACTGAAGCTGGAAAAATACCATTTTACCTGTGTTTAATTCACAGTGCTAGATTTTGTGACCATTATGCCTCATAGGCAGACACTCTCTCCTATTACCAGGGTTTGTAATCTCAGATCACTATTCAGGGATTTGTCACACAACACCCATTAGCATTCATGGGAGCTATGCATGGCCAGTCCTCTGGGTACACAGTTGAAAATATACTGCTTCTGGCTATAATAAAGTGCAAGGTGAAGCTCCCTGTACTACTGCAGTTTCCTGACTTTGTGGTACAATACATTTGTATGATCCTTGGTGCTGGCTAAAGAAGAAAGAGAAATTAAATGGTAGGAAAGAGAATGAAGCAAATGGTATAGTATAATAGAAACTAGTTACAAGGCATCAGATGCAGCTATCAAACAGTTCAGTTTTAAAATGAACAGATGTCACAGGACAATGCAAAGACTGTGTAGAATAACCCTGAGGCATAATGAAAAATTGTTAGAGGTGTGGGAATGTGGCAA